TGGAAGGCTTTGTGGGAGGAGTTGTCCTATTTTCAAGATCCAAAGATAGTTTTCGGGGTGCATAATTGTACGAACCCATTTCATGCAAGGATTTCACACATTCCATCAAGCCATCTATCTCGTCATCATCAAAGTTGAGCAAGACAACTTCCAACATATCACCAACATTGATTGAGTTCACACATTCCATCAAGCCATCTATCTCGTCATCATCAAAGTTGAGCAAGACAACTTCCAACATATCACCAACCCGGAAAGTGAGTTCTTCGGTTTCAACATTACAAAGAACCTTCCCCCGTAGCAAGGAAAGGTCTTCCAAGAATAATCGGCATCTAGAATGACAAAATTCGCCGGAAGAATGAATTTATCAACACGAACCAAGACATCTTCAATCACTCCCAAAGGTCTCAGATCGGACATTTGCAATCTCATAGAGGTGGGTCTTGGTTGCCCAATTCCCAAGGTCTTAAAAATCGAATAGGGCATCAAATTGATACTTGCCCCAAGATCACAAAGCGCTTTAGCAAACTTGGCACTTCCAATTGTACAAGGAATCGTGAAAGCACCGGGATCCTCCAACTTAGGAGTCATTGAATGCACAATTGCACTCACTTGATGAGAGACTTTGATAGTTTCAAAATTTATTGACCGCTTCTTCGTCACGAGATCCTTCATAAACTTTGCATAACCGGGCATTTGTTCCAAAGCTTCAACTAATGGCACATTGATTGAGAGACTCTTTATCATTTGAATGAACATTTTGAATTGATTCTCGCCATTTTGCTTGGCAGGTCTTTGAGGGTATGGAGGTGGAGGCTTAGGCAATGGTGCCTTAGCCTTTTGCGATATCGGCTCCGGTATGTCAATAATGTGATCCTTAGACGGGTTCACCACCTCTTGAATCTTTTTCACACTATCACCAATATCAATCTGAACTTCATCATTTGATTGTACCACATTGTTCGGGACCTCTTCTTCTTGTACCACTTGCTCATCATCCACAAGTTTCTTTTGACTTAAGGTGGGTGCATTCCCACCTCTTCCACTTCTTGTAGTAACGTCCATGGCATGCCCCGTGTTGTTTTCACCCTTTGCGTTTACCACAATGTCACTTGGTAGTTCCCCCCTAGGACGAGAATTTAGAGCTTGAAAGATTTGCCCCATCTGAACTTCTAAGTTACGGATCGATATGTTGTGTGAGGCAAGTTGGGCATCTGAATCGGCATTCTTTTCCATCATTTGCTTGAACATGTTGTGAATACGCCCCATTTCATTGTTTGACGAACTAGGACCATGGGAAGGATAAGGAGGCGTGTTACTCGATTGTTGATACATCGGGGGCCTTTAAAAACCCGACCCCCAATTGACTTGATTATTGTTCCATCCTCCTTGATTGTCCCCCCCCCTCCCCAATTTCCTTGATTATTGCCACTCCAATTTCTTTTATTGTTATTGTTATGCCAATTCCCTTGATTGTTTCAACCATTCCAGTTTCCTTGGTTGTTAGAATTCCAATTGCCTTGATTGTTTTGAGGTCTCCATTGTTGTTGGTTTGGGCCTTGGAAGTAGTTTTGTTTCCCTTGAAAGTTGTTCATATATTGCACCTCCTCTTCTAGTTCATTGTAAGAATCACCTTGATCAAAACCGCTATCCTCTTTATAATTCTCCACTCGATGTGCACTTGTGGACCCTTGGCCCTTCTTTTGTTCACCATCATGTTCACTCCCTCCATGGCATCTCCCTCCATGGCATTGACTTGCTTAGGATTTTGCACGTGTTAAAGTTGAGCCTTTGCTAATTGATTCATGTTGGCATTGACTTGCTTAGGATTTTGCACGTGTTAAAGTTGAGCCTTTGCTAATTGATTCATGTTGGCATTGACTTGCTTAGGATTTTGCACGTGTTAAAGTTGAGCCTTTGCTAATTGATTCATGTTGGTAGTTAATTCAGCAATGGCTTGCCCATGGTCATGAAACTCTTTGTGAAGGTGGATCACATTGGGATCACCTTGTGGAACATTAGCCTGGGATTGCCATACCAATGATGTTTCCGCCATTTCATCTAAAATCTCACACACCTCTGCATAAGGTGTAGTCATGAAGTTCCCATCAGCAAGTTGATTCACTACACATTGGTTGGTTGTGTTGATCCCACGATAGAAAGTTTGTTGAATCATATTCTCCATCATATTGTTGTTGGGACATTCCTTAACCATTGTTCTATAGCGTTCCCATATCTCGTGTAGTGGTTCATTTGGCTCTTGCTTGAACGCCAAGATCTCATCCCGAAGTGTAGTCATGTGCCCTAGAGAGAAGAACTTAGAAATAAATTTTTCTGCCAACTCATCCCAAGTGTGAATGGAATGGTTCGACAAACATTCCAACCAATCTAAAGCTTTCTCCCGTAGAGAGAAGGGAAAAAGTCTTAGCCTCAATGCATTCTCAGAGACATTTGTTTGTTTGCTCCCCCAACAAGTGTCCACAAACCCCTTCAAATGTTTGTATGCATTTTGACTTGGAGCACCGGTGAAGAAACCTCGTTTGCTATAGCAAAGTGAGCATCACATTGGTGATTTGAAAGTTTCCCACCCTAATAAGGGGAGGGACTATTGCACTAGCATATCCTTCATTGGGAAAAACCCAGTGTGGAGCCGCTCGTGGTGGTGGTGGAGGTGGAGCGGGGACATTGTCATGAGGCACTCAGACATCTTCTATTGGCTTGAGGTTCAAGAGGAACCTTATCAACTTGCCCATCCTCGACGTCCACATCCCCAAAGCAATATTTCCGAGCTCATTATTTGCCATGATTCTACCTACAATTTCCTAAACAATTTAGTAACAGGGAAGAAAAAGAAGATATTCCAACAACACACCCAAATATATAGCTAACACCATTTTTAACTCCTTGTCAACGATGCCAAAAATTGATCACGTCCAAAGCACACCTCAAAAGAGGTATTAAACGGTCGTAAGCAATAATAGAAACTCAACTAAGAGTCGGGGTCGAATTCACATGGAGCTAAGATAGGAGTTAGGGGTATATATTTCAATTTAAGCAATTGTATTATCTAGATTGCACTTCCACAATAAGGATTTATTTTGTATTTCTAATGTTACATTAATAATTGCAAAATAAAGAAGGGAGACTAGAGATAATTATTTTTAAGGTTTTTCCAAATGGATAAAAAGCCTAGGGTTGTGATCATGACCTAGGTGTTTGCCTAATGGGGTAAAAATTTTAATGCTTGTTTTGTTGATTGGGGTGCATTATAACTATTAAATCTAAATTACCTACTCAATACCTCTCGGTCAGAGAGTGATTTTGCCCACTTTGGCTTTCTCAAGACCAAATGGGTATCACCCAAAACAATTGATAAAAGCTCAAGTCGGGTTATTACTATTTCTAGGTTGAACCCTTTGATTGACCCAATTCCTTGTTAGCTAAGTTATCCTAGACTAGGTCTCTCTTTCTCACGTAGAGACTAAGTCTGTTTGCAACCATTAATTCTAAAATTGAAGCATGAACTAAGCTAAATAATCAACACCTAATCATAAACAAGCACTAAATTAATAAAGACGAAGGAAGGATCTTTAGCAAGAGTAGAAACAAACTGTATACTTACAAGTGTGGTTCCCCAGTTACGGGAAAGAAAGGAGCCGAGGCCGTGATGATGTCGCTGGTGGCAATGGAAACAAACTGTTCCATCCACCCACGATCATTATCATCTTCCATGCTGGATAGTAATGTATGGTGGCCTCGCTTGCTGAAGTTGATCATCCCCCACGAAAGATCTTGGGTGAATAGAGGTTTATCACGTGAACTAGGGATAGCTCCTCCCCCGTTTCCTGCCACAGGTGCCGCAGGCAAGCAATCGTCATCCCCACAGAGGGACTCACATGTGCCAAACACACTTGGTAGTGGAGGCAAAACTCCTCAATAACAGAGTCAAGCTCTCCACTCAGAGAAAATGTCCCCAAAGTGAAGAGATACATATAGAATTACGTAAAACCCTTCTTGGGTAAGGTTACCCGCTCCACCAGATCAGGAGCGATAATGTCTAAATCCCGGCAATCGCAATCTTCCTTCACAATAGGAATGCTGGAAGGACGGATAGAAGAAGGATATATACTATCGGCCCATGTACGAGGGCTAAGAGAAGGAAATTTCTCTTCGAAGTCTTTAGTTGTGACAAGACTTCTAGGGATAATGGTGCTCACTGTTAGAGGAGATGCGTCATTAGCTTTGTTTTTGTTCTTTGAGAAATTGATATTTTTTGAAGAAGAAGCAATTGTATGTTATGGAAAAAAGAAAAGCTTTTCTCGTTTGAAGAGAGTTAAAGGAAGGTTGAAGAACATGATACAAGTTGAATGAAGAGAGTTTGAGAGAGTTTGGAAAATTATGGAGTATGAATGAAGAAGGTTGATGCGTATAAGTAAAGGTTTAGATGGCTATATTCGTGGCCATGATTATCTTGATAACTGGCAAAAGTTATGGTGCATCGTGGGATGACACGTGTTCGGGGCATTAAATGCGGAGAGACGTGCGTCTAATCAACCGTCAAAAGTTTTTCAGAGGGGGTCAAAGAAATTCCCGCCAAAAATAATGTTTCTATCAACTTCCCGATGACACAAGTTATGTCACTGGAAAGCAGGGGGACTATCTGTTATGCCAAGTAGTTGCATAAGAAAGTGACACGTGGAGCCGAAGGCAGAGGATAGTTAAAATCGAAGACAACTGTTTCATTTGTCACCGGAAAGAGTGATGTTCATAAAGATACAATAAATACTTGTCACCCAGTAACATTTAATGGAGAATATTCTACAACATTTAGTACATTTCCTATTACAAAGAATTTGTCATTTATGTTCAACGTTACACATTCTTCAATGACCCTCATAATTGACATTAAAGAAGGGCATGATCCTAGAGAACAAATAGGACCTTGTTCCTTAGGTGCAGCTATAAATAGTGAGACATGTTATCATTGTAAATGACACGAATTTTCTAGCAAACTTACGCTATAATATGTTCAAAGCTCTATACAATTTTATCCTCTTACATTTTGATTTCATTACTGTTGTGCCCGGAAGCCTCGTTCCCGGAATTACTATTTCTGCTATTTCATCTTCATCTCAAGACTAAGTATTATATATTACTTCAATTCTTTTATTATTTCAGGATCGAATTAATTCACTTATCTAGAAACTATGTATAAATTATTTTAAAAAGGACCTATAATATAATGTTGCAGATTTTGATGATGAATGGCATATCTTCGCAAAAGAAACCAAGACGACAATAGACATCGGCGCACCAAGTGAGCTTCCAAAGGATAGAGTCCGCATAAGTTCAAATTATGATGCTTGATTGAGAATTTGTTCCTTAAATCATTTAAAGAGAAAATACTAATTTAAAAGCCATTTTAGATATCGAGTTATGCAATAACTAATTCAAGAGATATAAGTAAATAATGATCCACCCTGTGAAAAGCATTGCCACCAAACCCTAGAGTGGGTAAAGGAAGATAAAAAGTCTGTTAAGCGTACCTATAAGCGCTACGCCAGTTATGCAGTCATTGAATAATACAAATAGTTGCACCAATAGAAGCAAATAGGTCCCAACATCCATTCACCTCATGGTAAGCTGTAATTTATTTTTGGCCAGATCCGCTGGCATAACTATGATTTAGCATTGATAATTGCAAAAATTTTAGTATAAGATTTGGCATAAAAATACATAAACAATTTCAAAGAATATAATTGCTTTACATTTTTAGATTCTTCAAAAATGGACAAATTCCACTGAATTAGGAGAGAGAAGCCCGATGCAATGACTAAAAAAGTTGAGCAAAAGATGCAAGTACACTCTGTCTTTAGAATACCGATTCACAATAACGGGAATAGAACATGACTAATAAAGATCAACGCAGGCCATTCATGATGCAGACAATCTGTTGTAGAGTCAATCAAACAATATTATGTCTAAATCTAATTAGTTAGGATCAATTAAAACATCTGTAAGAATAACATAGAAAACCCATTGGGAGAAAAGTTATGACTCCAAAATTGTCCCAATGGTGTGTGTTGACCAGCATAGACAGCTGATGCAGCAATTATCAGTGGAGACTGAAGAGTAGACAGTGGTAGCATAATTCATAAATCCCAGCTTAGTCAGAAAATTTACGAAGTTCTCCATTTCTTGCAAGTCCAAGCAGTCAATTAGTACCATAAACTCAATAGTGACACAAATAGCAAAGAATTTCAAAGGACTTACTTCTGAATCAGGTATGGAAGCAGAAGCGTTGATGGCGAGGAACATGTATATACTGGAACTGTTGAGAAACATCCCAATATTTCCAGAATTTATTTTTTCACAACCAAGACCTGACATGTGTTGTAACGACCCGACCGGTCGTTTTGAGAATTAGCGTACCGTTCGAACAACTCCCTAATATGTATTATGGCTTGCATGTGTGGCAGGGCTCGGTTTTCGAATGATTCGGGATCAAATTGGAAGAAGGATTCTTGTTTTAGAAGCTTAAACGGTAAGAGTTGACCGGAGTTTGACATTTATGTAGACGACTCCGGAATGGTGTTTTGATAATTAGGCGTGTGTCCGGATTTATATTTGGAGGTCCGTAGGTTAATTTGATGCTTTTCGGCGAAAATTGAAAAGTTGAAGGCTTGGAAGGTTAAAAGGTTTGACCAGGAGTTGACTTTGGTGATATCGGGTCCGGATTTCGATTCCGGGAGTCGGTATAGCTCCGTTGTGTCATTGGGAATTTACATGCAAAATTTGACGTCATTCCGGGTTGATTTTATATGATTCGGCGCGAATTATTGAAGTTGAAAGTTAATAAGTTAATAAGTTCGATTTGAGGCGCGATTCGTAGTTTTGATGTGGTTTGATGTGATTGAGGCCTCGAGCAGGTCCGTGTTATGTTATGGAACTTGTTGGTATGTTTCAACGGGGTCCTGGGGGCCTCGGGTGTGTTTCGGATGGGCTATGAGCCATTTCTCCATGTTATTGGACTGTTGATTTGCTGGTGCCTTATGTCCTTATTCGCGATCGCGAAGGTCCAGCCGCGATCGCATATGCTCTTTTGTGGGTGACCCCTTTTTTTCTTAATCGCTTTCGCAGTGAATGGTTCGCGATCGCGTAAGCGGAGGTCGCTGTGAACCACATTTGCATCCCTTGATTCGCGTATGCGCAGTGCTTTTGTGGGGGCAATGTTATTTCTTCTTCGCGATCGCATGCATTCTTTCGCGATCGCGTAGTGCATTTTTTGTGCAGTAGTTGTTTCTTCTTCGCGATAGCATTTGTATTTCCGCGATCGCGATGTGGAGATGCCTGGGCAGCAGATATTAATTCCCAAATCGAGGGTTTTGTTCCATTTATCATCTTTTGAGCTAGAGACCTCAAATTTGAGCGATTTTTGAGGGGTTCTTCACGTGTTGGATTGGGGTAAATGTTCTTCACCCGGAAATGATTATATTTCATGATTCCATAATTGTTTTTATCATTAAGTTTGTGAATTGAATGAGAGAAAATAGGAATTTTTGTGAAAACTTTCAAAAATGTAAAATGATGATTTGAAGGCCGATTTGATGTCGGAATTGGATAATTCTGGTATTGTTGGACTCGTATCGGAATGGGTGTTCGAATTTTATGAATTTTATCGGGTTCCAAGGTGCGGGCCCGGGATTGACTTTTAGTTTTCATTAAAGATCGAAGCTTTATTATCCGGAATTGTTTCCTATGATTTTTATTTATGATATTAAGTTATTTTGGCTAGATTTGAGCCGTTTAGAGGTTGTTTCATATGAGAAGGTCATTTTAGAGTATCGGTCTAGCTTCTTTGAGGTAAGTATCTTGCCTAACTTTGTGTGGGGGAACTACCCCTTAGGATTTGAGTCCTTTGTGCTATTTGTATCATGTGAAAGCCGTGTACGCGAGGTGACGAGTACGTACTCTGGCTTATATGTGGAAATTGACTGGTCTAGACTCTTAGGCAGCTTTTATGTACTTATTTGGAATTGTTAGCACATTTTATATATTTTATTCGTCATGTCTACTATCACATGCTTTATTTGAAGTTGTCGTTGCATGTCATATTCCTTACTTGTCGAGTTTGCTCTTATATGCTTTATTTGGAGTTGTCATCACTTTGTGTCATTATGTGATTTATTTTATTGTGGAGCTACTCTTAGTTGAAATTGTCGTCACATGATATCCTTTAATTGTCGTCACATGATATCCTTTGTTGCCGGATTATTCTCATGCATTTATACGTAGTACTAGTTCGT